TTATATTTGTAGATTGCTTAGTAGGGTATCTTCCTCACTAATATTTACAGCCATTAGGGAATAGCTACTTCTCAGAGGTATCTTCATAGTATATCAGGCTTATGGATTTTGATGCAGCATCCTACCTCTTTAGCTTATTGGGGGTGAGAAATTGCTGCTTCATTGACCTATCTTCTAGTTCTTTGCCACTGGCCTATAGTATTTTTAATTACCCTTAGGCAATCTCAGTCTTGGTATACCAGGAAGAACAACTGATTAGAACAATTATATCACCTTAGCTAAAGTAGTACACTCAACATTAACAATAGCATCACACACAGCCAAGAAAATGGCACTGTGGTAACTATTAATTTGCCACATTTAACTGTATCATGTAGATTTGTGGTTATATTACAAAATCTAGACCAAACCAGAAAATTGTTTGCAGTAAATAAGCTCTTCAATATAGTGAATTTACCTCCAAGAAGAAGATTTAGAAGGAGTGGTAGAGGTACAGAAATAGCAGAGGGAAAGATTAGAAGTAAGGCTATAGAACACAGGAAGATCATGAAAATTTTGGGAAATAGGTGAAGATAGGAGGAAAAACCAGAAGGAAGGAATAAAAACAAGAATAGTGCAAATCAACAGCAACAAGTAAACTAGAAACTACATTCACAGGCCTATTAAAAAAAGAAATTGAAGGAAAAAACAAAACAGGACAAAAACAATAAAGGAGAGAAATGCAGAAGAAAAATTCCCCCTTCAGGGTGTGTCTCTGTTGTCACTGGTAGACAACGTGGGCAGTATAATGATCCAATTTAATCAATCTCAATGAGCCAGCCACAGTGCACTGAAGTTCAGACTGGTTTCTAGCCGTGAGTCTGGAACTGAGCTCCCTGACCTCCTGCAGGTTTGAACTCTGCCTTGTTTCACTGTAGGTTTAAGCTGTTCTTCCTGGCAGCAAGTCAAGGTTCTGGTAGGAGGTGCTGATACCAACAACTTACTAACCAATGCTCTCTGCTCTCTGCTTTTTCCAGTGACTCTCTTTGCTATCCCAATGGGCTTTAATTCTTAACAACAAGCCTAGGAGAGGTCCTCGCTCTGCTGCTCACCTCTGCACCTCTTTCTCAAGCTCAGAACAATGGCCTTTCTGTGTTCCATCACTGTGTGGCCCTGGGCACCCCTACTGTGTGGAATCTGAATTCCCACATGGCCCTCTCTTACCATGGCCCTCATCCCATTGCTCAGGTCTCATAGGCACTGCTGTTGCTTTATTCCACACTTTGATAATTCTGAATTGTATTATACATGGTTCCCCTGAAGTATCCCAAGTCTGAGAAGGAAGAAGACTAGAAAGCAAAATCTTTGATAGACACAAGATGTGTCTTCAGTTGTATTATTTGCATTTGGGGGTTGAGGAAAATGATATTTTTGCTTGGATCTAAGCAACCAAAGGAGGTATGAAAAGACAGCCTTCAGGTACATAGCAGGGCTAAACTCAAGACCTCCCTGTGTTGGCTTCTCTCTATCCTTGTTTTAATTCTCCAGCATCATCTTCTATTCCTTGGAATCACTTTTATTCATCATGCATGCAAACCCTAATCTCAGCCACTTCTTTCTGCAGAGATAGATTCTGTCTCGGCAAACTTCTTTACTAGCCACCCCCAGTACTGGGTTTATTTCCCTTCTACCTCTACTCATATTGTGGCATACATCTCCAGTGCTTCTATCTCTGTGTACCTTTCATGCCTATGCCTTCTAAACAACCTATTCTACTTCAAGTAGTTAGAGGCATCTCCTCATCTTTGAAACCAATAACAGCAACTTCTCTTTGAAATCATACAACTTTTGCATCTCATAGGACACTTATTTTATCAGATTTTGTGTCATTCTTGTCTCCTGTATAACAGTTTCTCAAAAAATTGCTCACATTTCATCTTCCCATTGATACCAAAGTGTGTCTGGCAGGATCTGGCATTACAATGGTTGAAAAGATGCTCAATTGTAAGAAATGTCAATAGAACTGAAAAGATTCTCAAAACACATGGAGCAGGAAAGCAGAAAAGGGTTTCCCAGAACTTTCATATTTCAATTCATCCTCCTCTTCTCCCTATGTCAATGTGATCCAAGAGGCTGTGAGGATCTTATAATATGAACTAAGGAGTGAGTGGTTGAAGAAACAAAGCATAGCCCAGAGTACTGCCCAAGAACCACCAGACTGTGTCCACTGTCTGCCTCTCAGAGACATTTTGGCTGAGAGTAAGAGGTTGCATTTTGTCCAATCTCTCTCCACACACACAGGAACTTATACATGGTTAGAACTGTGAAAGGACAGGGGAGAATGAGCCCACGGGATTCACTATTGCAATTCTTTTCTCTAGCAAAAGTTAGGAATAAGTACAAGATAACAGTGAATATGACCATGAGATACTTGCAATGAGATTGCAGTTGGGCACATAGCAGGCAAGGCTGCAAAGAAAGTGAGTCCCATGAATAGTGCAGTGGAGATAAAGAATGGTAAATGATGTTTAAAAACACATTTTAATCCTAGGCTGTGCTTATAAACATTCACTTATAAGCAATGCCAATGGCACTGGTCATGAGCAAGACATAGATGGCCAGCCCACCCATACTATGATACCTGTACCCTTTAACAGAGATTGCACATAGTTTAACAGTAGTTTAATTAAATCAGTTGGCAATAGTAAAGATGTCTTTAAATTTAATGATGTATTTCCAGGTTGTTAGCCAATTCAAATGATATAAAATTGGTTTTATAAATATGATACCTATTGTTATCTGTATACAATAACTTCAGAGTTTTTCATTGATCAAATATAATGTGTTGTTATGATCTGGAGTCATCTGGAAAGAACTGTTAAGATAACTACTTGCATTTGGAAAAACTGCTGGACAAAACTCATTTTGGTGAATAAAAGAGCTGCTGCCTCAAATCAGTTCATTCAGATTGTATGCATTGGTGGGACTTCCAGTAGTTTCTTTCCAAAGCCTTAGGGGAGACATCCCTCAACAAACATTGTTAAATGTATTATTTCAACACATTTGTATTGTCTATCATCAAAATGTTCTGTAGGGGCAAAACAATGAAGTTTTCTCAAATGTTTAAAATGCTCTTGGTTAAACTTACAAAAATAGATTTTAAAAGCAAGGGTTTTATATTGTATCTACTTTCTTACTTTCCATTGGTAAAGTTTTTCTTATATAATTGAGTTTTAAAAGCTTAATTAGATAGTGGCTTATAAAATATTTCCAGTTATCGGGTTATGATGAGTTGAATAAATAGCCATTATCTAATTTTATGACATTATATATATATATATATATATTAATCTACAAAGTTAATACTGCACAAGTTTAGTATATACAAAGTGACTTGTATATTTTATACACTACACATTTCATTCTTAAACATGAAATGACAAAAATTTAACACCTCAGTTTGGTCCTCCTATTTGAAATTTAATGTTTAAATTAAGCATTTTGCTACTGTATAGATGAAACACACTTACATATTGGTTAATAATCTTTTTTTTTTTTTTTTGGTTAATGGCACAATTTCCAAATGTGTAAGTTCTCTTCGACATTTCTTCCTTCTGGTCAGTGTGGTTACATCTGATAAACCTATTAGAAATCTAAATTCTGTCATAAGTATAAAAACCAAGTAGACAGAGACAAATATTTCTGTACTTAGCTGTGATGCTAATTATAACTACTTCATGGTGTACTAAATGTATTTTCATTTCCCAAGCATATCTGTATTCAAACATGCAAAGCTAAAAAAGAAAGAGCATGTTATTATGATTGTGACTTCCTGATTAAAGTTATTTCTGGTGATAAACTTTTTACAATTGTATGATTGTGTTATATCAGAAAGAAACTCCTGGTTGTTAAGGGATACCTCCAGACTTCTTCATGTTCCTTATACTGTATAAGTTCCAAGTCACTAGATATAAAGATCTTAAGTGTAAATTTTTGGGTAAAAGCTCAGTTGTTGTGCACAACTCTTTTTTCCTAAACCCAATCTGTTAATAAAGAGTAAAATAACCACATGTCAGAAACAAGAATGCTTGGTCTGGATAGAATAAACAGATCTCCGTATGAATGATAATTGAATGACCTAGGTCATTCAAGACAAAAGGTGAAAAAGGCTGCACCCTTGTATTGGGCTGCACATGCAATGTGACCTGAAAACAAGGCAGGCAGCTCACACTGCCTGAACTCTGGATCCTGTGCATTTTTTCTTTTCTTTTTCCATTAATTTCTCCCCAAAAGGATACAAGAGAGATCTTAAAGAGATACAATTCATCTTAAAAAGATGATTACTTATAAAGACCTCAATGTTTGTCCCCAAAATGTCACCTTTAGGTTTTATTTGATAAACTTGTGGCCAATTAAAAATATTTTAAAAGATTGATTTTTATTCTAGGCAGTCTCCTGGGCTTCCCCAGTCCCTACCCTCCCTGATGTCCATGCAACTTCCACAGTGATAATTCTCATGTTCCTTTCTCTAGGAAAAAACTTCTCAGTTTTTCTTCAGGCTGAACTAAAAAGAGGAAGACAGAGAAAAGGCACCTGACCAACACACAGGAGAGATTTCTCTCCCTAGATCAACAGATATTAAAATGTATATGGAGAATATATATATTTATACAACACGGCTTGATGTTTATCTCCTGAGTTACTTCACCTGCCAAATGTGCCTTTTAAGGTAGTGTTGTGTTTTGAAAGAAGCCAGACACTTGGCATGTCTCAATCAATGTGACATTTTCCAGAGGGCTTTCTACCATTCATGGGAAAGTTGTAAAAATTTATTCTGGCTAGGGGATCCCCCAGGAGAATGGGACTTCAGAAGCTACTTCAGAAGGCAGGACCTCTTCTCACTCCCTCTCAGGCACTCACTTCGGCAACTCTTGAATGTAGCCATAAGGCTCAAGGGAAATGGGTTTCTCCCACTATTTTTGTGAGCCAGTAGAGGAAGCAAGGAGTCCCTTATTGGGGCCATGAATAGAGGGAGAAAGATTCCCATCTCCATCCCCCATGGGCATGGGCCAGAGCACACTGTGGCTGCTGCTGGTAAGATAAGGGGGAGCTGGTCTTCCTCTATCACTGCCACAAGCTAGGAAAGGAGGTTGTCAGGCAAATTTGATGGGGACCATCTCATGCTTCCCACCTTCTTTATGTGTTCTAGATAAGAAATTTATGGCTGAATTGCACTCCATTTTTTTATTTGTTTGTTTGTTTGTTTGTTTTGGTACGAGGGATTGAACTTGGGTCCTTGTGCTTGCAGGTCTGGCAGTGGAATCACTGAACTAAATCCCTGGCCCTCCATTTTATTTTTTTAAAAATCCCTATCCAGTCTCCAGTTGATTGGCAATTGGGCTGTTTACAAGTTTTAGCTATTACAAATTGTGCTGCTATGAACATGGGTGCACAAATATTGCTGTGGTATGATTCCTTTAATTCTTTTGGGGAGATATCTAACAAGTCAATAGCTGGGTCAAATAGGGCCTCTACTTCTAGTTCTTTGAGGAATCTCCACATTGATTTCCATAGTGGTTGCACCAGTCTAACTCTCAGCAACCATGGAGAAGTGTTTATTTTCACCCACAGCTTCACCAGAATTTGTTGTTGGTTGATTTCTTGATAGCGACCTTTTTTCTGAAGCAAGGTGGAGTCTCAATGTTGTTCTGATTTGCATCTTTTGAATGACCAGTGATGTTGAATATTTTTTCATATATTTATTTTCTGTTTCTACTTCTTTGTCTGAAAGTTGTCTGTTCATTTCAGGTGCCCTTCTTTTGATTGGGTCTTGAAATTTGGGAGATCTAATGTTTTTTAGTTCTTTATATATTCTAGATGGTAGACCTTTGTCAGAGGAACAGCTAGTAAAATTGTTTTCCACATTGTGGGTTGTCTCTTAGCTCTGTTGGTGGTTTGTCTTGCTGTGCAAAAGCTTTTTAATAAGATGAGATTTCAATTGTTGATTCTTTGTATTAGTTCCCATGCCACTGAGGTTCTTTTCTTAAGCCAAATGTCTTCAAGAGTTCTACCTAACTTATGTTCCAACAGGTTCAGTGTTTCTGTTTTAATATTTAGATCTTTGAAACATTTTTATTTAAGTTTAGTGGATGGTGAGAAATGTGGGTCTAATTTTAAACATTGGCAAGTTGAAACCCAGTTTTTGCATCACCATTTAAACTTTGTTTTATAATAAGGACAGATGCCAAACAAATATTCCCCTTAACAACCTACAGCTCTTCTCTACAGTAAGGTATTCTATACTAAAATAAAACTCAAAATCTATGTTTCAAGAAGAAAAAAACATGCTTCTCCCCAATAGTGTCAACTTACTTATTCTGCTAAAATGTTGTTTTGCTTTTTATTTAAAACTTACACTGTAATATTTTATAACCATTATCTCATAGTATTTTATAAAAATTTGACTTTTAAGGCAATAACTGTTGCTCTCACTTCAGTACTTGTGATCTGATCTTTTTGGTGTTTAACAGCTAGGGCTCTGAGACCAAAGCTAAATATGCAACCAGGCTAAGGGAACAGCCAATATTTTGGTCTTAGCCTTCCACAGTCAATAATTTACTCAGAGCATGAGGAAACATCTCTCCAGGATCCTACAACTTTAGTGAGTCGCTCGACCTCCTGAGTAAAGAGACTGTTAGACCCAGAGGACAGGAGTCAGTTGATGTACATTGTGCTAAAGGGAGAGTCACCAGGGAAAAAGCATCTCCCAGGCTTCCAAGGGAAGCCATATGGTCAAGCAAGACTGTGACACATCCTGGCAAATGACATTGGCAGAGGACTAAGAAGCTCTCTATGTTTCCAAAAGTAATCCCTGGGCAGCCTTGACTGATATTAATTTACAACAAAAAGTTAATTCTATTTCATACAGGTCTCACTGAGACTTGGACTTAAATGTCCATCAAGAAAGTATAAACAACAAAATACATATAAATATTAATAGTAATTTAGGCTGCACATAAAAAAAGATTCCAAGTCCTACTGGCCCCTGCTGACAGTTTCAGTCTACACCTATAACTTGTCATTGCTATGATCCAATAAGACAAAAATGCCACAATAATAGCTACAAAATTCAACAAAAATCTTTTATTTATATACCTAAGTTTGTCTTTCAAAAACACATGGCCTCAGTATTTTTAGGCTAAACTCTTACATGTTTATAAATAAGCTTGTTATCTTTAAATAAGTCATATCAGATTAAAAGATCTTTTAAAAAAATCAAACTTACAAATAACCTCTTAACTGCCAAAAAGTAGCAGTTATATCTATTCCTAGAAGAAATACTGTTTTATGCCACCAAGTCTGAAATAGTGAGTGATGTAACATAAAATCTAACCAACTGTGTTTCAAATAACCACAAAAAATTACTTAAGTCATGAGATCATGATCAAGGACCTGAAAGTAGACATCTTCATTACTCCCTAAACCAGGGCCATTATTAATGTTTCTTGTAGCCTTGCTATTTGGGCCATGTTTTCTCAATCTCTTATTCAAATTTGTTTCTTCTCATTTGACAGCTTCAAAGCTAAAAATGGTGATGCAGACAGACTCTTTCCAGGCACTCTTCCTAGCTCTATTCAGGACCTCTAGATAGACCGCACAGTGGTAGGCTCTGGCTGCTGCTCCCCAACAGTGCTCCCTCTCAGCAGGATGAAGCTCAGGAGAACTTGCTTAGCTTATTCTTCCTGACCACAGCGAGGGTCACTACTGTAGAGGGGAGAACAAAACAAGGTAATAGGTGAAGTTAGGCAAATAGGGCACAGTTAACTTGAAGTAAACTAAAATTTAGGGTTTAAGTGATTTAACATACCATACCAGAGGACCAAATAATTAGCTTAGGTAAACTGAGCCTAATGAAATGTTAGAGACAAAAACAGCTCCTTAAACAAATGGGAAAAAAGTTGGAGAAAATGAAATGCAAATGAGACAGCTTACTTTCCAGACTTCCAAGGACTACATGCAATCAGAGCATGTCTATGTTCTGCCACATTCACCCCATTCAAAAACTGTACATCAAGCCAATGGACTTAAACGTCTCAGATGTCCACCTTATGGAACCCCTCCCCAATCAGCAGGTAGCTCTTCTTTTTATTCTTTATATTAAACATACATTGAGTCATTCCCCACTGCTTCCTGAGTGCTGTTTTGTCAGCTTCAATATTGTTTGCTCTGAAACAAGGACCTGGGAGCTATAGGGAGCTGGCTACAGTGAGATGCAAGAGACCAAGATCCAGAGGAAGTCTGTCACGTAGTAGTTAACATCAGAAACACTTGGCACCTCACTTGACTGAATTTCTTAGTAGCTGAGTGACTTTGAGTAACCTTTATTTCTTAGGGCCTCTGTCTTCTCTGTAAGAAAGAAATGTTAATGGACCCTTAAGAATTAAAAGCTTACTGATGTAAAACTGCTACAATTTTGTCAAAAACAAAATAACCTCTCCAAACTTGTGCAATATGTGTTGGCCCAAATTACGTTCACAATATGTAAAATAATTGCATTGAGTGCTCTGATTTGCCAGAGATAAGATGTGAATGAGGCTATGTTCTCAAGTCATTTCATGAGTCAAGTGAGCCACACCTCTTTAACCTCCAACTCCTCTTTAACTGAGCTTATGGCCTCCCAGTTGCCTCCTGGTGTTATTTCTGCTCTACCTTCTCAAGGAGCCCAGACCAGCTACACCTGTGGTGCTTCATGCCACCTATCCTAAGCCTTCTAAGAATTCTGTCCAGCCCAGCTTCCTTGCCACAGTGGGCACACCCAGGATCAAGATGTAGGGTCCCTTCCTTGCTTATTAAATGCCCAGGAGTCTGAGGCCAACATCCAGAGCGCTTAGATGCTGTTGGAGCTGTATCTCTGAACCAAGAAGAAAGAACACTTCAGGAGAAAGGTAACTACTGCTTCTCAGAAGCCATGTGTGGGGAACCTTCCTTTCACTGCTCTGTATCTGGGCTTGGAGTAGTTCTGGGAACCTTGGACTAAAGTACAGGGAACTGTATAAAACAATTCTAGGTGATAATTTACTCATTCACTGTTCATAGGTAGTCACTAATTCAGGCAATCCTGAGGTAGGGAGGACTGTGACCAATGCATTATTATTGAACTCTGTAATGTTATTAGGGGACTATATTGGTGGTATTCTTATCTACAAATCCAGAAGATAGGCTTTGATTGACAAACATCCTGATGAGGCTGGGGATCACCATGTGCAGGGTCCTCAAAGATGCCTCTTTAGATAGAAGTACAGGTCAGAGAGGTATATTTTCTGTCAGCTACTTCAGAGTTTTTAGGGTAAAGTTGGAAAAAATGACCTAACAGCTGTGAGGAGAGAAAGGACAATGATTGACACACACTCCCTCCTTTCCTCTGAACGCAGAGGCTTAGTGTTCCGGTGGTTCTTGGAGTGATGTTTTAGAATTCCTATCTGTCTCAAATGCAGTGTTGGATGGCATCACAAAGCCATCACAGCCTGGAGATTCAGGATCACACTGGCCACCATAGGGAAGAGGGTCCACTCTATTCCATTTAGGGTTTGCTGACCTTAAAAGATGGTCTTCCTATCTTTCCTTTAAAGTCTTTAATAGTCTGCATTTGAGACTATTATGAGGCAAGAGGCAGGAAATAAGAGCGGGTGTGAGGGCAGATAATAAAGGGAGATGGCTATGAGCAAAATATATTTCATACATTGAGCCCTGATATGCAAAACTAGGCAGAAGGTGGGGCAAGGGGGTGATAAGGTTGACATAATCAAAGAATGTTATATGCTTGTAGGAATCTAGCAAAATGAAACCTATTAATCTATATTACCAATTTTAAAAAAGAAAATTCTTAAAATATGCATATGGGGCAAGGACTCAGGGAATCTTTCTTTAAAGTTTTTCAAGAAAATTTCAGGGGAGGGGGAGAGAAAAGGATAACATGTTTTTTTCTGTCTATGAACAGCTGCAGATAAACTCCTCTTCATTTCATATACCTTGTCCTCCTCCTGGAAAGCTAGGAAGTCAAATGGCCAACAAAGAATGTAAGTGGTAAATCACAAACTAGGCTGGAATTACCTCTACCCCACTTCACCAAAGACAGTATGCTACAAGGATGTCATTCACTCTGCAGCAAGTGTATTCATTCTGTGTAACACAGAAATGTGTGTTAGAAAATCTTCAGACATTTAGGTGTTTTCTAATTATCTGCATTTAGAATTACTTGCTTATTTTGATAAAGAAGATAAAGAAAAAGGCCCAATGTATTGGCAACCAGTTTAAATAGTTGTGGCATTGTTACTACATAAAGAGTTATCAATTAGCGAAAGATAACTCCAGAAAAAAAGCAAACCTTGAAAATCTCTTGGGAGCATAAATATGTTTAGATCATTTCTGATATTTTCATTCATAAACCAGTCCTACTTTATTCCCCTTTCTTTATTCTCATAGCCAAATTTACTTAGAGTAAACCTACATCAAGAATTCTGAAGCTAAGCCTGAAAGTTAATTATAATTCCACTTGTGTTTTGTGTCTTTTTGTCATTTGACAGTTCAGGAAATTCCTAGATACTATCACATTCATGATTCTGAACAGATGGTGTGGCTCCTAAGTGGAAATGTATTAGTGGCAGCTCCATCCAGCAACAATATTGAACCTAGTAAGTGATATCTGAAGCCACTGTTTCTCCTGGAGGGACCCCACTTCCCCTAGGGAGAGAAGTTAGAATCCATAAGCCCACCTGGTTCTTATCAACTCTTGGCACCAGTTCAATATACAAAAGAAGTGCAAGAAAGGCAAGATGACTACCTTTCACAAAGGGAAAAACTGTGCTTAGCAACAGCAGTTTGGGGGACAGATATCTCTTCTTACAAAAAGAAAACATTTTCAGATGTGAAGATATTATCCTTTTGAGCAATGGTTGAATTAATTGTTTCTCTTCTTTAAAGTCCAACAACTGGCCCTGGACTCTCAGATATAAGCTCCCTCGTCTCTTCACCATCAGATTACACATTTGACTAAATTTTCATTTTCTCTCCCAATAATTTGGAATGCTTCTTCTCCCATCAGGTCACTCTATCTCAGCTTCTTTCCCTTTGTTCAGTACCTCTCCGTGTTTATTTAGCCCCTCTCTTAGGAGCATTTCTCATCTTTTTTTTTTTTCTGGGTTTCCTATCACTGACAGGCATGCTCCTGTGTAAAATCCACTATCTTAATACTGAAAGCCTTCTCTTGATTCTCACATTCTGTTCTTAATAACATTCTATTTTCCAGGACCAGTCATAATTGAATTTTATCCAGATTCCTCTGGCCATGCAACCTGTGTCCACTTCCTGCTCCCATTTACATCAAAGCAACCTGATTTGTAGAGTGCTCATCACTGTCCCTTGAGATCCATTTCCGAAGCAAGTTTCACAAACCAAAACCCAAAGGACAGTTCTCTGATCCTGCTTGTTGGCCTTTCAGTCACATTTAGTATAATTTCTAGATTCCCTTTTATTCGCACTCTCTATTTTATTCTTCTGTAGTTCACTGGCCCCTCTTTTGGACTTCCATTTATGAGATACTTTTTCAAAATAACACTTAGAAAGTACTTATAGAAATCCTACACAATACTTCTGCTAACATCTCATGAGTCACAATTTAAGCACATGGCAACATTTAGCTGCACAGCTGGTCATATTGATGGATAGATAATGGATAGATGATAGATATATAGATAGATAGATCGACAGATGATAGATATGTACTGAAGTATTTGAAAAGTAATATTCCCTGTGACATTTAGGGTTCAGATATTAAGAAAGGAGAAGGAAATGGGTTTCAGAAAAGCAACCAAGTGTCTCTGCTATGTAGCAATGAGAGGAACCCATTGGGAGAAGCCGTCCAGGCTTCATACCCCCGGCTTAGAAGAATAACTCAGTGTGAGGTCACAGTATTGACTTCCCTCATTTGGAGCATGACGTCTACATTTTTTCTTGTGTTTCTAGTCACTCTAGCCATAATAGCATGTAGAGACACAAAACTTTTTGATGAAGGAAAAGGCAATCTGGTTTACCTTGGAATCAAAGATAAAAATCTCAGCCTCTTCTGCACAGAAACTGAGGGCAAGCCTACTCTGCAGCTTAAGGTGAGTGGATGTGCAGCTACTGAGAGATATACATCAAATGGGCTATTTAATGTCACCTCATGCTCCACGGAAATAAAATGATAGCTTTATAATCCTGCTTTATTAATATAATGAAAGAAACCTGACTTTGTTAGGCCTCACATTAGTAAATGTTGCCATTAGGATGCATGTAACATCCAATAGATGTTTCTGAAAAACCAAGGAGTGGGGTCATATCAGTCCTAATAAACTGCTACCTAGAAACTCCCTAAGAGAATGCAATGCTCTCATTGGAGAGAGGCTGTTTATCTGGATTTTTCAGAGTACATGTTTATATCCATGAGCTAAAGGAAGATTTATAGTAATGAAACTAACACTTCTACTAATGATAGAAAGTGTGATGTACAAGGCCATCTGGAACCTCGAAATCTGATGAGACTGCCCTGAACCTGGGAGTGAATGCATACCATGAACTCCCAAGAAAGAGATGCAAACTCCCCTCTCCTCCAGGGAAGAATCAGTAGCACCTTGTGTCATAGGACCTTGGATAGAGCCAGGCTATTGGGAACTAGCAGGTGCCTGATTAGATAACATGGTCTCCTCCTACTCCTCCTCACTAACGAGCCTGTTTTCTCCCCACAGGAGATCAACATCATGGACCTGTACAGAGAGACTATATCACAACAGCCTTTTCTCTTTTTCCACAGTGTGGAGGGCTCCATTTCTTCCTTTCAACCTTTCTCCTACCCTGGATGGTTCATAGCTACCTCCTCTGTGCCAAGTCAACCTGTCTTTCTCACCGAAGGGAGGGGCTCGACAAACACCAACTTCTATCTAGCTCCTAAGATTTAAGTCCAGTCTGGGCTATGGATAGCCAATTCCGGATAGAGGATCAGTCTTTATTTGAAAACATAATAACTCATTTCTGAATATTGTCCTTCACTTGAATGTCATATCAGTGGGAAGCCTAAAGGTCACTTTCAGTCTTTGCTGATTTTATCCCACCATCTGATTGGCTACCAAGTGCACTTCAGCCAACCCCTATGCTTCTTACATGCACCCATCCCTTCCCATTCTTTTGCCAACCCCCAGACGAGAGGTGTGAATCCAAAAAGTTCTTATTCACATAATTGTATGAACAAAATAAAATGTAATTATTTATTAATTTCATATATGTTATAAACATTAGAGCACATACTCCAAAAGATAGATCTAAAGAAGATGGATATAAAAATTTAAAATTTATATATGTCTTAATCATAGTGGATTCATAATATCCAAGTTAACGATTTGACACATTGTATATAATTTGACTATGATTGTTAAATGACATGAATGTAAATCAATTCATATTTCAAAGAATCACTCACTGTACATTAGAAACACATGGAAAATTGGGCCCAGGGTTGAGAAAAAGCTTGCGAATGCTGCTGGCTCGCTGGAGAGTGTGAACAGAGACACCAGAAAGGATGTGGCTGATCTTTCTATTTGTAAACCATTTCAAACAAATACAGTTGCATAGCCCCAAATAAAAACAAGAGATGACAGATTGAGATTCCTTCAGGAATTGAAACTGTAAAAGACAAACTCTGGGCACTTTTATTTTTCTATTGCTGAATATCAATCTCCATGCCACTCTGACATAGTCTTCAATTTCTATAAAACCTTAGTGCTTATCATTGAAATACAGTAAACTTCCCCCAAATATTTACCTGACTAAACATGTGCACACCAAAAGTCACTGATGTCAGTTTGAATTTCTCTCAGGTGGCTTCTCAGAGGTAATTGCACTGTACTGATTTTACTTGATAAAATAATTGCAAATAGTAGCATTGGCTATGATATTTTCTTATTCTTACTACTATTTGTTCAGATTTCAGTAGCTTATGTAATTAATAGTCTCTTCATGGGACTATGTTAAGTCAGCTGTTCATTCATGAGTGTTATTTAGGTAAATCATGTAAAACAACCTGCAAATACATTAACCAAGCACAAGTTGACTATAATCAATCATAATAACCTAAACATCCATGTGTGCAGAACAACAGGCTGTCTTGCACATGACAAGCAGAAGCATCAAGTCTTACAATGTATACCAGCTCCTGAGTTCAAATTTCTCAGCCATGAAAAATTTATTTCAAATATCCTTCTTGTATTAACTCATGTTGCTTTGCTTCCTGTGATTTTGTTTGGGATACTCTGTGAGTCCCTCACTTTCACCACTTTTCCTCTGATTAGCCTACTTTTCTCTGCAACAGTCATTGAGAAGGTGTAATCTGACAGCTGTCATCTCAGCTGCATGGATCACTTATTCTTGCTGCAGAACTCTTAGGACACCTGGGGAAAAGGACACTTGCACCAATGTGTTTGAACACTGCACAGAACTAGAAGGGAAAGGGAGCTACTCCATAGAAAGCCCTTGACTAAGGGGCATGGAAATGGATATCCGTTCCTCACTTTGACAATTCTCGGTTGCATCATATATGGTTCCCCTGAAGTGTCCCAGTGCTGAGAAGGAAGATGAGAATGAAGAAATAATTGAATGACATCCTCAGATATTTTATTTATTTTTGTGTTTTGAGTAATACTATTTTTTTTGCTTGGATCTAAGCTGGCAACCAAAGAAGGAGGCATAAGAATACAGCCTTCAGTTGCATGGCAGGGCTGAACTCAAGAACTCTGTTTTGGCTTCTCTCTATCTCTGTTTTAATTCTCCAGCACTTTCTCCTGTTCCCTGGAGTCACTGGTCATCGTCCTGCATGCATACCCTGTGTCAGGCACTTCTTTCTGGAGAGACAGCATCTGTCCAGGAAAAATTCTTTGCTTGCTAACCACAATGTTGTGTTTCTTCCCCCTCTACCTCTGCTCATACTTGGCCATACACCTCCAGCGCTTCCATCTCTGTGTATTTGTCCCACCTATGTCTTCTTAACAACCTAAACCTGATTCAAGTGCTTAAAGGCATCTTCTCATCTTCCCCTAGAATGGAAGCATCTTCTCTCTGAAGTCACAGACTTTGAGTTATCCTTGTCTCCTGCGTAACAGTTTCTCAAAAAATACTATGGAAATTAATTAAGTCTTATTGCACATATTACATCTTCCCATTGACACTGAAGTGTGTCTGACAGAATCTGACATTACAATGACAGAGAAGACATTCAACTCTGAGAAATATCAAAGGGACCTTAAAGCTTTTCAAAATACATGGAGCAGTGAAGCAGAGAAAGGCTCTCAGTGACTCTCCCACTTCAATTCATCCTCCTCTTCTCCCTGTCCCAGAGAGGACACTAAGGAGTGGATGAGCACTAAGGAGTGGATAGCTACAGAAACAAAGCATAACCCAGAGTACCTGCCAAGAGTCACTAGCCAATGTTCACTGCCTGCCTCCAACAGGACTTTTGGCAGAGCCTGAGAGTTTGTACTTTGTCCAAGTCCCCTCCACACACAGGCATTTATGCATGGTTAGAACTGTGTAGGGATTCACTGTTGTGATTCTTTTCTCTAGAAAAATTCAGTTATGAGAACAAGATGATGGTGAAGATGACCATGAGAGACATTGCAGCAGGGTAAGCAGTAGGCAGGGCTGCAAAGAATGTTCTGTGAATAGTGCAATGGAAAGAAAGAATGGCAAATGGTGTTTCAAAGCTCCTTTCAATCCTAGACTTATAAATTTTCATTTCTAAGCAATGTCAAGGGCACTGGACAGGAGCTAGTGACAGATAGCCAGACCACCATCTGTGCCATCTAACAGAAGAGATGAGGGTGCTGGGGTGAGAAGGAAGAACAGGAGATTGCAAAGTCATAGAACAACCCAAGAATGGTCTTCATATATTTTATTTGCTAATATAATTTAAAGAACATGTTTTTTTTTTGGCTTGGATCTAAGCTAGGAACCAAAACAAAAGGCATAAGAAGACAGAGTTCTGTTCAGTCGATATCAGAAAGCACTTTATATATAGTATGATTTCCTAAACCTTGCAAAAAGTTAGGCAAATTCCTTGTCTATCTGTAGCCTGGAACTAAATAGTCAGTGGGGGAGAGATAGAAAAAAAAGTATGCTAGCATTATTATCGCTCCTATTCCAGTCTCTGAAGCCTGGGTTCTATGACCTTTCCCTCAAGTCACTAAGATGCTCTCATATTGATACTTTGTTGGTGAAATGATTGCTGCTTTCTTATGCTAGAGTCACGGTGGCCACATTCAAACCCAGGACTATTGAATAGTGGGTTTTGCACAGGTTGGTAAAGAGGGGGTTTATCCTGTAACACTGGCAGTTTTCCCCCAAATCTCTTCCTTTGAGCAAGCTGAATGAAAGTCTATGTCATATAGCGGCACAGTTTGTAATAGCTAAAACTTGGAAACAGCCCAATTGCCCATCAGCTGGAGACTGGATAAAGAAGATGTGGTTTTTCTATAAAATGAAATAATACTCAGCCATAAAGTATGAGAAACTAGAGTCATTCATAGGAAAATGGATGCATATTGAGGCCATACTCTTTGGAGAAATAAATAAGACACACATGTATAAATAGCAAATAGTTTCTCTGGTGTGAAAAACTAAAAGTGTAAATAAGATCCAAACTGTATAATTGATAATGTGAAATAGGAAGAAAAGGGCTAAAGGTATAGTGGAAGTGGGAATGGTAGGGGAAAAGAAATAAGGGAAAAGAAAAAATATGAGAAAATGGAAACAAAGTCTTTGTAAATAGGGGTGGGGTGAGGGGGTGAAGGGAGGGCAGGGCTATGGGGGAAAAAATGAGAACCAAGACCTGTCATGTAAATGTACAAGATCCCAATGTTGAATGTAACTATACTGTATACTGAAAAAGTACCAATAAACTCAATAAGGTTTAAAAAAAGAAAATCTATGTCAAACGATCCTCCTCCCTTCCACCAATGCTTCCTTTCCAGTTTGCATCAGCATCCATATCTGCTGTTTCCTTCCCTCAAATACAGTTTCCTTTTTCTATGAAACAGAATATTTTTAAAACTCAAGAAGATTAAAACTGAAATCTTATTCTTTTACCTAGTCCAAAGAGTTTATTTTTATTTTGCTAATGATCTAATGTGAATGCTCCCATTCACTTGCAAATAACACTTGGGTCATCAATGAAAGTGAAGAGAAGGACATGTAGGAAAATTAAACTGATCAACTAACTACCGCATTAGTTTGAGTCACAAGCAAAAGATTCCTGATTATGAAAATAATAGGTAATAAGGGAAAAGAAAAAAATATGAGAAAATGAAAAAATGGAAATAAAGTGTTAGTAAATGGGGCGGGGAGGGAGGAGGTCAAGGGAGGGCAGGGACAAGGGGAAAAATGAGAACCAAGAACTGTCATGTGAAGGTACAAGATCCCAATAATGAATGTAACTGTACTGGTATACCTAAAATGTACTAATAAACTCAATTTAAAAAAATTGAAAATAGAAGGAACTTCAGAAAGCAAAAAAAAAGAAAGAAAGAAAGAAAGAAAGAAAATAATAGTCAAGAGTCAACCTTATAAGTTTGTCACATTATTGGAACAATAGAAGTTAAGAACCCCTTTGAGGAAAATTTTTTTCTCCTCTTCTCTACTCAACCTCTTCCTTATAATTCTCAGGCTAGTAAATTGATCTACCCTTCCAAGTGACTTAGAAACACCATCAGAGGCTAGAATCCCAGAGAGACCCAATATTCCCCAGACCCCCTCTTCATGATCCCCAGACAGATTTTAGCCCCCAGGACATATATCCAATAATACGAAGAACACTTTAGGCCAATTTTCAGAAGCTCCTAGTAGATTTACAATTCATTTCCAAACTTTGACCCTTATTATTTTTTCAAACGTTGACCTTCATGGAGAGGTATCC